GATTTCTTTGTGGATTGACTGATATTTTCGGTAGAAGGCCAACTATAGGCACTGGGGTCCACATATTTAGTACTTAGCGGCTTGAACAGTTTTGGTTCGATTTAGAAAATTTTTGGTCACAAGGTGGCATACTTTAAACGTATTATTCACGCAAAGTTTTACGCCGATATAATCATTGTTGCTTGATTTGCATAGTGGAAAGTGAAAGAATCAAGTGGTATTTAAAATGGTGTCATATGGAAAATAGGCGTGGTTGTAATCCGATTTCGCCCATTTTCGCACTATGACATAGAAACATGAAAAGAACGTTATGCACCGAATTTGGTTGAAATCGGTTAAGCAGATCTCAAGATATGGGTTTTCACCTAAAAGTGGGCTGTGCCACGCCCACTGTCTAATTTTGAACGCGGTTCCTATAAAGTCATCTTATACCATCTCAGAGATAAAATTTAATGTCTCTGGCGTGTTTGGTGCTTGATTTATCGCGCTTTTAGTAGTTTTTAACAGTACCGTTATATGGGGAGTGGGCGGAGTTGCCACCCGATTTCAACTATTTTCACACCGTCAATAGAAGTGCTAAAAACATTTGCTTCCAGTGAATTTTGTTATTATAGCATTAGCGGTTTAGGAGATATGCACATTAAACCTATTAGAGGCGGGACCACGCCCACTTTTAAAAAAAAAATTTTAACTGCAGATGCCCCTCCCTAATGTGATCCTGTGTACCAAATAACAGTCTTGTATCTTATTGCGGAGCTTAGTTATGGCAAGTTATTTGTTTTTGATTAATGGCGTTTTGTGGGCGTGGCAGTGGTCCGATTACGCCCATCTGCAATACCAACCGTCTCACGGTACCATGAAACATGTCTACCAAGTTTCATAAAGATATCTCAATTTTTACTCAAGTTAGAGCTTGCACGGACGGACGGACAGACGGACGGACAGACGGACGGAAAAAGCGAATACTAGCTGTCAACAACGACGCTGAACTCAAATGATTGCGTACAAGCTCTTTGTAAACACATTAAGCCGGGGAGTAAGCACAGAAATACATATGTATATATATATTTATTTCGGAATAAGACTGCCAATTGATTGCTCAACTGATACCAACTATACTTTTTTAAGAGATATTCTATTTAAACTATAAGGCATGTGTAAAAATATCACAATTACTAAAATTTATGTATATCTATATATACTCAACGGCTATTTTTAGTTACACGCAACTTAAATGCGCAGCACAAAGCTTTATGTGTGCATAAATTACGGTACAAAACACGACGGAAGTGCGTAATTTAAACTGTTCGTCGTTTACAATCATAATTAATAAGTATCTCTTAAGTGGACCGTTGCGGGTTTACAAATGCACATATACACCATGAGCATGCGTACATACATATGTGTGTACATAAATACATACATACTAGGATGGAGCGAAAATTTTTTTTTTTTAAATTAAAATTTGTAGATTATAAAAAAATAAATTTAGAAACAATTTTTTTTTTAACATCTAGAGGCAGCCTACTCACTTTTAAAGTAAATTTCGAGTTAAAATTTATTTTGCATAACATTTATATAAAAATTACCGAAGTTGACGATTTTTGACTCAAAATTTATTTTAACGCTTAATTAAGTAAAGCATGTTGTCGTTTAAGACTTTTTTTAAAACTCCAATAATGACCACAAAATTTTTTTTTAAGTTAATAACTTTTAATTAGCCAGAAAGAGGACTCTCCACAGCTTCTAGAACACTTATCAAAAATTCTTTACGAAATAAAAATTTTAACTCGAAATTTACTTTAAAAGTGAGTGGGCCGCCTACAGATGTTAAAAAGAATTTTTTATTTTTTTCCAAAACACACAGACGCCATACAAACTAACCGATCCAAATCAAATTCTTGTATGGTAAACTTTTTTATTTAACGCCATATCTGCACGAAATTTAAAATGGACTATTATCTAAGGCAGCGCCACAATATTCGAACATATTTTTCAGTTCGGCCTGCTATAGCATACAAACTGACTGATCAAAATCAAGATAAAGATATAAACTTTAATGCTATAAGAAATGCACCTATACAGGATATTATAGCTTCAGTTTCTTCGAAATTAACGTTTTGTCTTGTTTTTGATTATTTTTGTATAATATATTTTTAATTGAAAATGGAAGTTTTGTCAAATTTTATTTTATACTTTAAATTTTTGGAAGGATGTTTTGTTAGCTGTTGTAGCAGCATAACAAGAATGCTGCTGATTCGACAATCCTTATCTCCACATATTTCCGGTTCCCATTTCCGTTTGTAGATCCAACGGTCATGGGAACAGATAAAATATCATAATTATATAATTGTATGGTAACCTCCTCCAGGAAGACACATCCCACAAATAATAAAATATGGTTTGGTTATACCATATTTTTTCGATATACACCGGCAAATTTTATAGAGAACCTTCCAACTTTAATGAAATATTGTGCCCCCATTTCAAAATCAAAGCTATAATTTAGAATCTGAGTAATAAATTATATTATTAATACCATTCACCTGTCTATTTACAAATCTAGTAAGGTATATATACTGCACCTTATCTACGAATATATCATTCATATGAATAGTATTAAATAACTTGTTTATAACTAAACAAAAACACCTAGTAGAAAGTTATAAATAGCACAGACTTGTATAATAATAAACTGTAATCACTTTAGCTAATTGTCATATGTATATTACAACAACTTATCTAACACAACATATATAAATATAAAAGTGCACAAGTATGCCATTATTTAGCATGTGTGTATGAGTGTTTAATAGTGCAAGTAAATAAATTACATATTTTAATCTCGTACGAAAACACTACATTTTCCCCAGTCTCTATTTGATATTCACAGCAATGGAAAATTTTGCCACTGATTGCATTATTTGTCAACAGCTCAGCTCCTTTGCATCAAGAGAGAAACTGCAAGAGCATAAACATACATACACACATATGAATGTGCATAAATCACAGATACGAGTGATAAGCGAAGCGAGGGGAATTTGAATTGGAAAAGCGAGAGTAAATAAAATGAATAAAACCGCGAGTGAGTGAACTGGAAGTGTAAGCAATTAATTGCTGCTTCATTGAATGATGCCGCAAACTGCAATATGTACATAGATATATATAAGTATATAAATATGGTATTGAAAGAGTAATAGTACAAACAGAGAATTATTATTTTCATCACCCTACCAACATTATAATTAAATTATGGATTTTTTCTTCAAAGTAATTTTAGAGTAGTAGTAAAGATTTTTAACGTCATTTTGATTGGTCAATTTGTATGACAGCGACGTATATATGCTATAGTGGCGCGATCTAACCAATATGTATGAGCATACTATCCTTGCTTTGGAATAATCCATGCCAAATTTAGTAAAGATATTTTGTCAAATAAAATTTTTTTCCATAGAAGAGCTTGAATTTGATCGTTCTGTTTGTATGACAGCTTTATGTTATAGTGGTCCGATATCGGTGGTACAGACAAATGAGCAGCTCTTTGAAACTAAGTTCGCATATATAATATTATACATAAACAGATGAGACGAACATTGCTAAATGGACTCAGCTTATCACGTGGATCATTTATATATACATTTAATGGGGTCTCACACTTTTTCTTCTGGGTGTTGCGAACTTCGGGATTTCAAAACGAGTTTTTTACTTAAAGTTTATATAAAGTGCCTGGAACTTCTCATATGTTTGATCTAATACCTTCTCGAGCGAGTTTTGATGTTTTCCAACGGATTCCAAATCGGACATACTATAAATTTCAAGCCATCTGTGAATGCTCAATGGGTTCAAAACTTGATGCTGCGAGACAATTATTAGAAACAATTATTGTAATAATTTATATATTATTTTACTAAACTGTTAGGCTTCAATGACCAGAAAACTAATTACGGCAATCATTCAATAATCAGCAAATAAAATGGCAATTCAGTGAGAGTAAGTAAATGCATGATATATATATATACGTTTGTATATGTATGTATGTGCCTTTAAATGCAACAATCCCATACGTAGCCAAATAACATAAAATAATAGTAATGAAAATATTTCAAGAATATTAACGGTGGACTACGTGCTGAAACGCACATGAAGGCATCCAGGCAACCACGACAAAGGAACTACAAAAATGTTGTACTTGTATGATTGCAGTAGTTTAATATCACATAATTTTTAGCTGATTCATAAATATATTTCTTTAAAGCGACAGTTTTAACAATCGCTAAGTTTTTTTTCTTTATTATAATTTTTTGTTTATTTTTTTTTTTGATAGGGCAGACAATGCATTTAACAATTTGTAATACGTATATATCTGCATATGCACATTTACATATGTATAGCCATGGGTACCTTTGTTTTTGTTGCTACTAATGAGCAGTCGCTATTTCCCTCTATGTGCTATAATCGCTGCATATTATAAATGACACTAGAGGCGAGAAACAATAAGCAATATAATAAAAAAAGATAGCGCAAGAGTGTGCTTATGGGGGCCGATATGGGACATTGCGGGGTGGGGTCAGATGGCAACGCAGTAACTGAATGAATTTATATGTAAACAAACGCGTACTTATATGCATACTTAAAAATTTAAAGATACGCAATAATTTTTAATAATTAATTTAATTATAATGCAACGTATGGAAATTAATAAAATTTTACTTTAGTTCTGAGCACTTTGTTTATGCCCAACCTGCCTGTCACTCGGCAGGCACTTATTAAAACATCTACATATATATAAGAGTACATTTATGTTTGCATGCAGCACATTGTAAGGTATGCTTTGTTGTATAGTTATGTGTGTATGTACTATCTGCTGCTGGAACTGCCTGGTCGCCCTGGCTTGTATGCCACTTGGCATATTGATTTTCTACACACGCCACCATACCGCCGCACCACTAAACCCTTTAACTGCCTTTTCCACACGCCATAGCATATGTGCATGCATGTACCTGTATTGCAGCACGTCACTGCACTGCATTCACTTTTTCCAATTATAATTTTTACAGCCGGCTTGGCAGTGCTTCTTTGGGGCTCGCCTGCATGTAAGAATTTACTATTCTATTAGCTACTGCGATTTTTCCATTTTTTCTTATTAATTTAAATGTTACTTTAATTCCAAATGCATACGTTGAAAATAAGTTTCAGCAGTTGTAAAATAGGTGCTCAACCCTTTTAGGAGGTTTCCATTTACATATATTGTATATGGATGATAGTTAGAAGTAGGGAGATCGCCAGAAAATTGATTTTTCTTGTGACATTTCGTTTTCATGCAAAAAAAAAACTGCTGCACTAGTAGTAACTGCACAAAACTTTGCCACACAATTGCAGTAGCTGATTTTTCGCTACCTGTTTATTATAATAAAATAATTTTAATATATTAGTTATTTAAATGCGATTTTCACTACTCTTACCTCTCGTTATACTTTAATTTTTATTTATAGTTACATACATATGTATGTAAATTTATACATATATTCGCAAACTTATTGAAATTTTGTATGCACTTTTTCACTTTATTTATCTCTATTATGTTTATTGCACTTTGGTTCTAGTTGCGCACAGATTTTTTACATCTATTCTACTATGCTCCATTAACTTTTTTATTGTTCACATTGCAGCTAATTCTGCAATTGCTTTTAATTTATGCACTTCGTCGCATATTACGTCGTTTATGCACTTTTACCGTTAAATTCTTAGAGTAATGAAAATAAAATTTTAAATGTTTATACTGTATTCGCAACAGATATTTTCTTTCACTTTATGAAAATTATTTAAGTGGCTCTGCATTGGTGCTCTTTATCCGCTATTTGTCAAGTAACCGCTTGTGTTCATTATTTAATGCGCTCTCGCGGAATTTTTGTTTTTGACTGCTGTCAACTTGCTCCCCGTTAACGGTGTTGTACTTGTGCGTCTCGGAAGCGGAACGTTGGAGTTCACTGCTACACGGGAATATTTCAAACACAGGGTGATTAAACGAATAGTTTTTCTTTTTTATTTCAAAAACCCCTACTAGCGTTACTGGAACTAAGCGTTTATTTAACGATGTAAAATAAAATATGCTGTGTTTAAGACGAATTAAACCTACCTACCGCCTTAGAGTAAATACTTATATAATATGTCAACCTTTTAACTGTTCCCCACCCTGTAAGTTTTAATAGACTACTTAATTATCATTATCAAAACGTAATATCCGCTTAATTTTTCAATTCCATCAAATGCTGTTTTCTTTGCCGCGATTTCATTTCCTTCACTTCTATCAGCTGTTTGCGTTTCATTCAAAAGTCAAAATTTGACAGACTTCAAAAACAACTGATTGTCATTGCTATTGCTAATTGCTAATTTATAAGATCCAACTAGATTGACTATTTGGTTGAGGGGAGCGATTGAGTAAGCAGAATTTTCCACGATTCCAATAGCAGTGGAGCAAGAAAAGTTTGTGTTGTGACAGCAGGTTGTTAGCACAGCAAATTGCCAACAGAATTGTTAGTTGGTGTTTTATAAAAGCAAATTTTACCGAAACAAAAGTACAAACCTAGTGGTTATTATAGGGTACATAGGAAGTGCAGCAAAAACAACAATATAATAGAACATTAATGTTTATTAGACAAGCCTTAGTATTATGCTGTAGACAACAACTGCAGACACGATCAATAATAAGCGCAAATAACATAAAAAGGTATGTAAGTGAAAAAAGCAATTAATTATTATGCAAATGCTGGTCGCATGGTATTATTGAATGATGAATGTAGATATATACATATGCACATATTTATTATGACAATCGCTTTTGAATTTCACAACATTTACAGCATTTGGGTGAACTCCAGTTTTTTGTATACGCGTGCCGAAGCAAACTTCATATTTCAGCGTAAAATGAGCGCTTCAAGCACTACGGCGGCAGGCGAATCAGGTGGCATTAACAAGATGCCACTAAAGAAACCACAAGAGATAGAAGCTATAGTACGGTAAGTTAGCACTCATTACATTCCTGTGTAGGCACTCGAGCAATCACAACGACTAAATGCATATTGATTACAATAACAAAAAACTATTAAAATGGCAATGCACGTACAAACCAGTTATATATACCCACTAATACATTTCTTTCCTTTATTTTCGTAGTTTAAATGATATTACCAAATCTGAGCAAGATACAAGAGACTATCGTGGCCTGCAGCTGGAAAATGGTTTAAAAGTGCTACTGATCAGTGATCCCAAAACGGATGTTTCGGCAGCAGCGCTGGCAGTACAAGTTGGGTGAGTGCAATTATGAACGCAATACATTGCAAAATTTTCTGTTTATATAAAATTAATTTTGCATACAGCCATATGTCCGATCCCGATAACCTGCCCGGCTTAGCACATTTTCTCGAGCATATGCTGTTTTTGGGTACTGAAAAGTACCCCCACGAGAATGGCTATACCACCTATTTATCGCAAAGTGGTGGTAGCAGTAATGCAGCTACATATCCATTAATGACCAAGTATCACTTTCATGTGGCGCCAGATCATTTGGATGGTGCGCTCGATCGATTTGCGCAATTCTTTATAGGGCCCTTGTTCACAGCTAGTGCCACCGAGCGCGAAATTAATGCGGTAAGCTATTTGTATATGATAAAAATACTATCTAATAATATTTGCTAAGCTAAACTTTATGCTTTTCCGGTTTTAAAGGTCAATTCAGAGCATGAGAAAAATTTACCAAGCGATGTATGGCGCATCAAGCAAGTGCATAAGCATTTAGCAAAGCCGGATCACCCGTATTGCAAATTTGGTACTGGTAAGTAGCGGTATTTTTTTTATTGCATATACATAATTAATGTAACGCAAGGTGATTTACTATCATACAAAATGGGTTTTTATTAAAAATAATTAAATTTGTAACCTCTAACAGGCAATAAAGCAACACTCCATGACATACCCAAATCGAAGAACATTGATGTCCGTGAAGAACTTTTAAAATTTCATAAGAAATGGTATTCCGCGAATATTATGAGCTTAGCGGTACTGGGCAAAGGTAAAATACATAAAAACATCGCGCAAGATTATAACAATAAAATATATTAATTTTTTTTTCCAGAGTCTCTTAACGAGCTCGAAGAAATGGTCATTGACAAGTTCGCCACTATCGAGAATAAAAATGTTGAAATACCCACATTTGAGCCTGAACCCTTCTCGGAGGATAAATACGCGCAGAAAGTGCATATTTTACCAATAAAAGATTTGCGCTCTTTAACAATCAGCTTTACAACACCCGATCTGACAGAGTTATATAAATCTGCGGTTGGTGAAACTTGATAATATTAAATACGATTATGAAATGTTATTCTATTTTTGTTTTTGTTTTTACTCAACTCTAGCCCGACAGCTATCTCTCGCACTTGCTTGGGCATGAGGGCAAAGGCAGTATTCTCTCTGAACTGCGTAAATTGGGCTGGTGCAATGAGTAAGTTATAAATTAAACCAACGAAAACGTAAATTTCAAACTTTTAATGTTTTCATTTTTATATTTAGTCTAATGGCTGGTCATCAGAATACATTAAATGGCTTTGGTTTCTTCGAGATTGTTGTTGATCTCACGCAGGAGGGCATGGAGCACGTTGATGACATCGTCAATATTATTTTCCAGGTGCGTGAACATTTAAAAAAAATTGTACATACAAAAAATGAAATAGTTGTAAAATAGTTTTCTAAAATTATTTAAATATTATAATTGTTTTAGTATTTGACAATGGTGCGCAAGGAGGGTCCAAAGAAGTGGATTTTTGATGAATATGTTAAAATAAATGAAATACGTTTCCGCTTCAAGGACAAAGAGCAGCCCGAAAATATGGTTACGCATGCCGTATCCGCAATGCAGGTGAGTAATTAGCGATATATAATACATGCCAGCATTATAACTTGAACATCAAACTACCATTCAATAGATTTATCCACTTGAGGAAGTGCTTACCGCACCATATCTAAGCAATGAATGGCGTCCAGATTTGATTACGAAATTGCTTGATGAGCTCGTGCCGGAAAAATGTCGCATCGTGCTTATTGGTCAAAGTTACGAGCCATTGTGTAACGAAATCGAACCGTATTACAAAACTAAATATGGCACATACAAAATTGATGCCGAGACATTACGGGTAAGTGGGCAGCAAGCACACACGAACAACATTTTTTTTTTTTTATAATTCCTAACCTTAAAATTTTCAACAGCGCTGGGAAAGCTGTGGTCTCAATGAAAATGTTGCGCTACCGCTGCCAAACGCTTTTATACCTACAAATCTCGAATTAGTGCCAGAAGATGCAGATTTATCAAAACATCCCAACATTATAAAGGACTCGCCAATCTTACGTGTGTGGCATAAACAAGACAACCACTTTTTGAAGCCAAAAGCCTGCATGACTTTTGACATGTCCAATCCCATTGCCTATCTCGATCCGCTGAATTGTAATTTGAATCAGTTAATGGTTTCGCTGCTCAAAGATCAATTGAATGAATATTTATATGATGCGGCATTAGCGGGTTTAAAACTGCAAGTGAACACCAAGTCGTCGGGTATCGAGGTTTGTGCGCGCGCTATAGATTTCAAAATAAAATATATATAATTATATTTTTTTCTGCAGTTTTCTATACGAGGCTATAACGACAAGCAGCTGGTACTATTAGAAAAAGTATTGGATCATTTATTCGATTTCAAAATCGATGAAAAACGTTTTGATATATTGCGCGAGGAATTTATACGCTCGCTCAAGAATTTCAAGGCCGAACAACCGTATCAGCATGCCATTTATTATCTGGCTTTAATACTTACCGAGAATGCTTGGGCCAACAGCGAATTGTTGGATGCGATGGAATGTGGGTTAACTGTTTTTACATGGAAAAAATTATATACGCTATATAATACCACTTTTTTTCCATATATATAGTGGTCACCTATGAACGTGTCGTAAATTTCGCGCGTGAATTTTTCCAACGTCTGCACACGGAATGTTTCATTTATGGCAATGTGACTAAGGCGCAGGCACTGGATATTGCGGGACGTGTCAATAAACGGTTGGAGAAAACCAATTCGATTGTGCTGCCACTGTTGGCACGTCAGATGCTCAAGAAACGGGAGTACAAATTGTGTAGCGGTGAGTGGACAGTCCAAGACATTTTAAGAAAATTATATATAGCAGTTTATTATCTTTACAGGCGACAGCTATTTGTTTGAGAATCAAAATAAGTTTCACAAAAGTTCTTGTTCACAACTGTATTTCCAATATGGTCCACAAACGGATCGTTCCAATATTATGTTAAATTTAATTGCGCAAGTTTTATCGGAGCCATGCTATGATGTGTTGCGTACAAAGGTGAGTGATGAAAAATTGTGTTATTTATATATTTGAGTGAGTTAATGTAAAACGGTACCTTTTAGAAGTGCTTAGCAGCACTTTATAAAATAGAAATTAGCTAAATTTTGCTTTCTAATGAATTTTTTCTATAAATTTAAATGTTTCAAGTATATTAATTTTATTTCGATTGCATATAACTATTTTTAAAGTTGATTTTTCAAAAACCGATTCTGCAATTCTATAATGAAAAAAAACTATGAGACGCGCCTAAATGTAGGCAACATTTTTTTTTTATACACGGCTGTTTCGTGTACCAATCAAAAGAATATATCCACACATAAACTTTATCGTTGTCTGCTAGCATTCGATCTAAGATCATTTTCATGTTCTTCAAGTGCGTTCGACAGTTAATCGCTCTTAATGCCACTAGAATCTTGACGTAAATAAGTCAGATCTTATTCGAACATTCGTTCCACTAAATAACATAGCTAAAAAAGTTTTGTTTTTGATGTATTAATATTTTTTAATATAGCAATATTATTCATTCATTTTGGTAAACTATTGACCACCGCCTTGCCCTTGAGCGCCGCCTCCAGCCTGCCCTCCTGCGCTTCCACCGAAGCTGAATCCTATGCCAGCGCCCATCATACCACCCATACCGCCACCTGGCGGTCCTTGCGGTGGTCCTTGAGCGGCACGACGAAAGCGACTTTCTATAGCTGGCTTTGGTGGCGATTGTGGTGGTCCTTGAGCGGCACGACGAGAGCGACTTTCTATCGCTGGCTTTGGTGGCGATTGTGGTGGTCCTTGAGCGGCACGACGAGAGCGACTTTCTATAGCTGGCTTTTGTGGCGATTGTGGTGGTCCTTGAGCGGCACGACGAGAGCGACTTTCTATAGCTGGCTTTTGTGGCGATTGTGGTGGTCCTTGA